AGTAAGGTATTTTGTATAGCAGTATCTTCTATTTGACAATTCATAACCTTTAGTAACTGTTGCAGATGTTTATATAGACTTGTTCTTTGGGGATTTCTGGTCCCATGTTAATAATATCCTAACATGCAAGTGCCTTATTTATTTATAGTAAGTACTAAAGCTGTTCTGTACTGGAATCCCCAATAAAAATGAAACTTACCCAGTTCGTGCGTGGGAACCAAACGGATCACAGAGGGATCACCAACTGTAGCGCTCATCACCCTATTAATGAATCTGGATTTGGCGGGGAGATGGACAAGAAATTAGGTTCAAACAGTCTTGCCTGTAAGCAAGTAGAAGGACTTCCTGTATTCAGCAGCCATAAATCTTTTATGTGTTACAAAGTAAAGCAATTAACATCTGTGATGTTTTTTGTATGTCAAGAGCAGGGGAGTAAACAAGTAAACAAGAGCATGGGAGAGTATGCAAAAATGAAAGAACATTTCCTTTTGGTTGCGAGTGGCGCTAAAGAGACCTTACAAGAAGTTGTTTGTATGTTTCTTTAGGTGTTCTCTTTTGTCTCACCCGGGGCCCAAAGCAGTTTCCTGTGAGGACATTTCCTTGTCTAGATGTTAGCTTGAGGACTAAGGTGTGCCTGACCCAAGCCATAGTATTTTCAATAACCTCCTATGGTGCGAAAGCTGGACAGTGAATTAGGAAGACCATAGAAGAATTCATGTATTTGAGTTATGGTGTTGGAGGAGAATATTGAAAGTGCCATGGGCTGCCAAAAGAACCAACAGATCTGTGTTGGAAGAAGTGAAGCCAGAGTGCTCCTTGGAGGCCAGGATGGCCAAACTTTGTCTCTCATACTTAGGACATGTTGTCAGGAGGGACCAGTTGCTGGAGAAGGATACCATGTTTGGTAAGGTGGAGGGTCAGAGAAAAAGAGGAAGACCCCCAATGAGATGGATTGGTAAAATGGCGGCATCAATGGGCTCAAGCATGGCAACAATTGTGAGGTTGGCCCAGGGCCGGGCAGTGTTTCGTTCTGCTGTGCATAGTGTCGCTATGATTTGATACCGACTCAATGGCGCCTAACAACAACAACAACCCCACGCCTATGCATACACATCTGCTGTTTTTGTATTCAAGGTAAACCAGCGAACACACATACTCAATGAACCTGGCCAATATGCTGGCTTACAAACATTCCACAAATTCACGCTGTTTCTTATGCCCTTTCTTCTTTCTTTCCAAAAGGATCTCTGCATGGACCAAAGAATCCAACTGTACCACACACACACATACAAAATAGAAAATGACAACAGTCAATTCATACCTATTAATAATTATACTGAATATAAATGTATTAAATGTACCCAGGCGACAAAGAACAGAATGGATGAGAAAATAGGATCCTTCAACATACTGTCTACAGGATACATATCAAAAAGAAGGACGCAGCCTAAATACCTATCAACAGAAGAATAGCTAAACAAAAATTGGCACATACACACAATGGAATACTACAAACCATTGAAGAATAATGATTAATCTGTGAAACACCTCTCACTCAACATGGTTGAACCTGGAGGACATTATGCTGACTGAAATTAGTGGATCACAAAAGGAAAAATATTGCATGAGACCAATGTAATAGGTTAAGGAAAGATTTTCTTGATAAAAGAAACAATCTATGATAGTTATAAGGGTGGGGGAGAGGGAGGTAAAATTATTCACGAGCTAGAGAGTAGACATGTTAACATGGGTGACAGGGCAGGCAACATACAAGAGGGAGGTTAGCAGAGGAAAGATGAAGGTAGCGGGAGACACAGGGAGGAATGCAAGAGTTAGGTGAATAGAGGTAGACGCTGTTAATTGTTGGTACATGGAGGGGATTGCAACCATATAATGAAGCAAAGCATATGATTTGTTGAATGTAGAATTGATAATCTGCTTTGTAAATCTTCACTCACTTTGCAATAAAAAGTTGGAAAGAAAGCACCACGGACTGCCAGAAGAACAAACAAATCTGTATTGTAAAAAGTACAAACAGAATGCTCTTTACCAGCCAAGATGACCAGACTTTGTCTCTGATACTTCGGACATATTATCAGGAGGGGCCAATCCCTGGAGAAGGATGTAATGCTTGGGAAAGTGGAGGGCCAGTGAAAAAGAGGGAGACCCCTAACAAGATGGATTGGCACAGTGGCAGCAGCAATGGGCTCAAGTGTAACAGTGAAATCAGATGGGCACAGGGCTGGACAGTGCTCTGCACAGGGTCACTATGAGTCGGTATAGACTCAACAACACCTAATAAAAACAACAAAGTCCATTCCAACTCATTAATACCTAGGATATCGATGTTATATGTTTCATTTCATTTTTTACAACTTCCAATTTTTCCAGATTCATACTTTGTACAATCCATGATCCGATTATTAATGGATGTTTGCAGTTGTTTCTCCTCATTTTGAGTTGTGCCTCATCAGCAAACAAAGGTCATGAAAGCTTAACTCCATTCACGTCATGTCATTATGGTCAACTCTACTTTGAGGAGGCAGCTCTTTCTAGTTGAATTTGAGTGCCTTCCAACCTGAGGGGCTCATCTTCCAGCACTATAGCTGGCAATATTCGGGTGCTCTTCATATTTTCAATGGCTAAACATTCAGAAATAATTTACCTCTCCTTCCCAGTCTGTCTCAGTCTGGAAGCGTCCCTGAAATCTGCCCACCATGGGTGACCCTGCTGGTATACTAGTGGCATTGCTTTTAGCATCACAACAACATGCAAACCACCCTAGGGCAACAACTGACAGACCAGTGGTGGCTGTTTATCTGGAGTGGTTATTAATTGGACTCAATCGTTCCAGGCCATCAGGCCCAAACTGTGGGACAACATAGTAGATGGCACCATGTTGGTCTACAAATTGGACCCAGGATGTGTTACGTTGGAAACCACAGAGCTAAGATAAATATGGAATGTTATTGTTGGAAGCCCCTCCTCAGAAGCTTTGCCCCTGCATTGGAAGTGGCGATTGTTCTGTGACAAAGTGACTTTGATCCTCTAGCCAAGAGCGGGATAGGACTCTAGAGAATGGTTTTCAGCTCTAGGTCTTTGGTATCAAGTGACGAAAACAATTTTTACAGATTCACACCTCAGCAGAATGGAGTCCTGGAGTGGCGCTCTGGGTTAATGTGCCAGACTGCAAAGCTGTTTGAAATGCAACGTCGGTGGTTCAAGCTCACCATTGGCTCCTTGGGAACCCTATACAGGGTCGCTATGGGTTGGAACCAACTCAATGGCACTTAATAACAACAACAACAACAACCTCAGCAGACTACCCCAAATTGGATTTTGCAAGATACAATGCTGCTGGTTGTCATTGAGTCATATGTCTTCCTACCCACTGCCATCGAGGGGATTGCAACTCAGAGGCCCTGTAAGACAGAGTAGAACTGCCCCATAGGGTTTCCAAGTCTTTTCATCTTCACTGAAGCAGCCTTCTTTATCTTTCTCCTGCAGAGTGGCTGGTGGGTTTGAACTGGCCAATCTTTAGGTTAGCAACTCAGCGCTTAAGTACTGTGTCATATTGTTGACATTGTTGTTGTTGTTGTTGTTAAGTGCCGTCGAGTTGGTTCCGACCCATAGCGACCCTGTACAGGGTTTCCGAGGGTGTAAATCCTTACGGGAGTAGAAAGCCTCATCTTTCTCCCGCGGAGCGTCTGGTAGTTTCGAACCGCTGACCTTAAGGTTCGCAGCCCGATTCGTAACCACTACGCTACATTAGGTGCCATCAAGTCGGTTCTGACTCACAGAGACCATGGAGTCCCCATGCATAACAGAAGGAAACACCGCCCAGTTCTGCGCCATCCTCATACGTCACAGCCACTGTGTCAGTCCATCTTGTAAAGGTTCTTGGTCTTTTCCACTGACCCATGAAGTCTTGTTTCCTTGTCTCTACGAGGATTCTTACTCCTTCCAACACAAATTTGTTCCTTCTTTTGTTAGTCCATGTTGCTGTTATTGTTTGTGATGTAGAGTTGGTTCACTTGTAGAAACCCTGTATAAAGTTTCCAGGGCCTGTGGTTACCAGTCCAGTGCTTACCTTACATCACCACATCAGGGTTCTTATATAATACGTTGTTGTTGTTAAGTGCCATCAAATCTGTTCCTACTCATAGCGACCCCTGTATAGGGTTTTCGAGGAGCGGCTGGTGAGTTTGAACCAAGGACCTTGGATTTCAAACCGACCTTGAGGTTGAGTGCTTATCCTATAACACCACATCAGGACTCCTTATATAATAAATGTTATCTATAAAAAGAAGTCCCGGTGTGGCGCTGTGGGTTAATGCGTCAGACAGCAAAGCCGTTTTAACTGCAAGGGCGGTGGTTCAAACTCACCAGCTGCTCCTCAGAAACCCTATACAGGGTCGCTATGGGTTGGAAGCGACTCGATGACACTTAACAACAACAAATATATATATAAAGATTTTTACATACATACACAAAACAACAAAAAAGGATATACTTTTCCTGGGAAGAGATAAGCATTCCTGATAAAATGCTTCAGCAGTTTTTTTGTGAACTTTAATGGGACCAGGTTCTGTCCTGGGAATCAGGACAAACAGTCCCTCGAAACACTCGTTACCTTGAACCAAAACTCGTGTTGTAATGACTAATCCAACCACCGACTTTGTGACTGTAAGTGCAGTTTGATCTCTGTGTTTCTCCTCCTTTCCCTGTCTCTGTGTTTCTGAGGGTCTCTCCCTCACTCTTTAGGGGTCTCTCGGTCCTCCGTTTCTCGAGAGCGTAGAGAGTGTCGGCCAATCGCCGTCTTCCTAGTCTCCCCTCTGCCTTCAGTCTTGCGTGCCAGGCTCCCAGCTCTCCGCCCTGAGTGCCGCGGCCCCTTTAAGACAGGCTCCGCCCCGCCCCGCCCTGCCCCGCCCCCCGGGTCAGCCCGGGTGCAATCATTCGCGGCTGTGTCTGCACTCAGTCGGCGACATTCTGTGAGACCCATGGCTGCGGCGGCTCTGCGGGTGGCGAGCCGGCGGCTCAGCCGGCGCGCGGGGTCTGGAGTCCCTATCCTACTGCGGCAGGTGCGAGGTGACTGGCCCCGGGAGCGGGGTTACTGGGCTTGAAGTGACGGACGTAGGGACTTTGGGCCTTGACTCCTTGGCTCTTTAAAGGGAAGCGATCTGGGGTCCCGATGACTAAATCTTTGTGGAAGACGGAAGCTTGAGGCCAGACTTCTGGGTCTTTTACAGAAGAGGGTGCTGGAACTACGATTCCTGGGTATTAGAAAGTTGGGACTCTTTGGCCTGAGAGAGGTCGCGATTGGGGACCCAGACAGACTCATCTCGGTGGTGGGGTGAGGTGGAATAAGTGGCAGGGGTTTCTGATTGAGGATCTTAAGAAGCGGACTTCTGAGTCCTCCTTCTGTGGTTTTGTGCCCACCTCCTTCCCAGATGTTTGAGCCCAAGAGTTGCACTTACACGTACCTGCTGGGTGACAGGGAGTCGAGAGAGGCCGTTCTGATCGACCCAGTTCTGGAGACAGCAACTCGGGATGCCCAGCTAGTGAAGGAGCTGGGCCTGCAGCTGCTCTTTGCGGGTCAGTCTGGGGGTTACCTTCCCCACCCCCGGGCCACAGAGTAAATGGGGGGTCTGATGGGGGTGGGGAGAGTGTTCGGGGAATCCTCTTCATGCTCTCCTGGACTTGGCCCGCCTCTCTGTCCCAGTGAATACACACTGCCACGCAGACCACGTGACGGGTTCGGGTCTGCTGCGGACCCTATTCCCCGGCTGCCTGTCTGTCATCTCCCGCCTTAGTGGGGCCCAGGCAGATCTGCACATTGAAGATGGAGACTCCATCCACTTCGGACGATTTGTGAGTGGGATGCTGGGATCCTGGGAGGGTGGTGGGCTGGACTCCTTGGACTTCAGGGAGGAGGACATCTGAGGGCCTAGTTTCTTGTCTGAGGGAGGAGAGCGCTGGGAAAGGGGTCTGGTACTCCTGAGTCTGAGGGAAGTTGAGTTGAGGGCCTGAGGGAGGAGGGGACTGGAGGTCTAGGCTCCAGAGTTTCTGGTGGAACCACTCAGAGTCTGGGTTCTTGATCCCTAAGAAGTTCTGCTCTTGGGAGGAGGACACCATAAACCCAGGTGGGGCACTAGGGCAAGAGGCTTGGGTCAGGTGTGACTCTGGCCAAACCCCAAGAGTCAACAGCATTTATGGAGTGTCCTAAGTCCTGGTGTGGTGCTATAGGATAAGCACGCGGCTGCAAGGATGGCTTCAGTTGCAAGGTTGGTGGTTCAAACTTACCAGCTGCTCCTTGGAAACCCTATACAGGGTTGCTATGAGTCACAAGCGAGTAGACAGCACTTAACAACAACAACAACAATAAGGCTTTGTGATAGTGCCTTTGACCTGACATCTCCATAGTAGTTGATTGTGGTAATGGTAGTATGCCGTGGAGTCGGTTCTGACTCATAGCGACCCTGTATAGGGTTTCCAAGGCTGTAAATCTTTACAGGAGCAGAAAGCCTCATCTTTCCCCGTGGAAACGCGGGTAGTTTCGAACTGCTGACCATGAGATTAACAGCCAGACTCATAACCACTACACTACCAGAGCTCCTTGGGCTGCAATTCTGCAATTGAGGCAGAAGTGAGCCACAGTATGAGGAAGGAGCATTCTGTTGTCTAACGCTAGGATTGTTGTTGTTGTTAAGTACCCTGGAGTCGGTTCTGACGCATAGTGACTCTACACAGGGTTCCGAGGCTATAAATCTTTACGGGAGCAGAACACCTCATCTTTCTCCCGCGGAACCGCTGGTAGTTTCGAACTGTTGACCCTGAGGTTGGCAGCCCGACTAGTAACCAGAATGGGGCAATCAAGCTGCTGGTGACCCTAAATTTAAAAAGGGCCATGCAAATGCAGGGTGGGTTCTTGAGAGTGAACCCAGTCTAACCCAAACCGAGCCTACTGTCACCAAGTGGATTTCGACCACCCAGCACCTCCCTCAATGTTGTGCCCTAGACGCCTGACTCACCTCACCCTGAGCCCTGCCCACGGTTGCCTCACACAGGAGTAATCTGAGGGTTCCTGTCTGGCTCCTTCCCCTTCCGTTGCACTCTTGTAATCAGTTGGCTTCCGGGCAGAATTTCAACCCAGAACTATATAGGCAGAATGGGAGGGAAAGTTAGGTGGAGTGAGGGTTGTGCTCAGAGGGAGGGGGAATAGCTGGCAGGGCCTTTTTTTGATCAGGGTAACTAATGATATATACAGTTTGGCAATAGAATGGTAGATGACAGCATGAAGGCTGGGCCTCCGAGTTAGAGGGTTTTGCTAAGTGAGAGTTTATTGGAGTCAGAGCATTTAGAGGAAATGAGCGCTGTGTGTGGGATCAGAGATCACACATTGTTTACTTCAAGCCCTTTTCTGGAAACTGTTGTTTTTTTCTATAAAAATGATACAATTGTGCATGAATAAATAAATATTCCAGTGGAGCCCTGTGGCACAGTTGGTTAAGCACTGGGCTGCTACCTGCAAGGTTGGCAGTGGAATGAAAGTCACTAGCTACACTTTGGGAGAAGGATGAGGCAGTCTGTTTCAGTAAAGATTTACAGTCTCAGAAACCTGATGGTTCTACTGTGTCCTGTTGAATCACTTTATGTCAGAACTGACTCAATAGCATTGGATTTGGCGTTTGGTGCTAGCAAACATGTCTTGGATTGAAAGGAATAAGTACATGTTGAGACGGTTCTTCACAAAGACTGAATGTTGAAGGCCATGGTAGATTTATTTCCCTGCAGTGTTTTTGTTTTTGTTTTTTTCCCCTTTTAATGGAGGTGTACAATTAAAAGTGTCCAATTCAGTGGAGCTTAGTATATTCAGGGGCGGGGTCTGACCTCCTATAACTTCATAGAGGGACGTGGAAAGAGAATCAAAATTGGCCCAAAGCCAGCTCTTATGTGACGGAGGTCAGTCAGGGTTCTATCTTCCAATCTTTTCACTAATTCTGACACCAACCGTTCCTCCCACGGACTCTCGACTTCGCTTCCGGGTTTGATAATTTGCTGTAATGGCCATACAAAACTCACAGACAATACACATGATTATGGGGTTTGTTAGGGAAATGTTGTTAGGTACCGTCCAGTCAGGTCTGACCCATAGCGACCCTGTATAGGGTTTCCGAGGAGTGACTGGTGAGTTTAAACTGCCGACTTTGAAGTCCAGCGCATTTAACCCATAGCGCCACACTGGTTACAGTTCAGTATCTGAAACATTCAGGATACAGTTTTTTGTCAGGTACACCTAGACCCTTGGTCTCCTGGCCTGCCTGCCAAGTGTTATAAACCTCTTTTAGCTCTTGACCTCTCAGGCCCGTGACCCCTTGGCCTCTGCCCTGCTTGACCACCAATATATCTGTAGGATAAGCTACCACTCTGCCAGGAAGCCTGGACTTGAACACGCTCAGCTTTCTGGCTCCTTGGGCAGGGGGGCCGACTGCTCTTTCTTGTGTCTGGTTCTCCGATCCCTGCTTGCTGACACTTCTCTGCCGTGCGTCTTACCCTCTCTGGTATCACACCTCTCTGTCTCCTGGATCAGAGAGGTTCAGCACAAGGATCTCAGGGTGCAAAGGATGTGCTTCACTCCAACCTTTTCTTTCTTGATAATAGTGAGAGAGAGAGAGCCTTGTCTCCACCTCTGGGATGGCTCATTTTAAGCCTAGAAGGTTAGCAAAACTGACCAATCCCTACTTAGGGTTTCATATATCTTATTTGCATGGTCCCACCCCACATGGGAGGAGCCCTGGTGGGATAGTGGGTTAAGCATTGCCAACCACAAGGTCAGAGGTTCAAATCTGCGAACTGATCTGTGCTAGAAAGATGAGATGGTCTGCTCCCGTAAAAGTTTACGGTCTTGGAAACTCTAAGGGGTTGTTCTGGTGTATCCTGCATTGTTGTGTTGTGAAATGCCGTCAAGTCAGTCAGGACTCATAACCACCCTGTATAGGTTTTCAGAGGAGCAGCTAGCTGGTAGGTTTGAATTGCTGACCTTGTGTTTCCCAGTCCAGTGCTGATCCTACAGCCCCACACTAGGTGTCCACTCTATCCTATGTTGTAGAGTGCCATCGAGTCAGTTCCAACTCATTGTGATCCTGTGTAGGGTTTCCAAGGAGTGGCTGGTGAGTTTGAACCACCGACCTTGTGGTCCAGTGCTTTATCCATGGTGCCACACCGGGACTGTGTCCTGTAAGGTCGCTATAAGTCAGAACCAACTCCATGGCAAGTTGGGATCCCATCTAGGTACCAAGTACCTTACTTATATTATTAGCAAGTAGCCAATCCCCCCCAGAGGGCCACAAACACTGCACATTGCAAACTCACCTGCCGCTCCTCAGAAACCCTAGACAAGGTGGCTTTGAGTTGGAACTGACTCAACAGCACTTAACAACCACAACATCTCAATGAGTCACAGCCACCGCCACCACCCAGTCATCTGGTGGGCATTGCTGGCTGGAAGAGCTGTATCAGTTCATTCATTGCACCACGTGTGGATACAGATATAGGAGACTTCCGCTGGATCTTACGGTAATTCTGTGTTTAACTGTTTGAGGAACTGCAAGACTGTTTATTCAGAGCAATGGCACTATTTCACCTCTCACCAGCTGGGTAGGAAGGCTCCCATTTCGTCACCGCTTTGCCAACACTGTGATCATTCACTGCTTTGCTTGGTTTTTGTTCTTTGTCTAAGTTCTTTTTTTCTCCCAACTTTTTATTGTGAATTGAGTGCAGGTTTACAGAGCAGGTCATCAGTTTTACATTTAGCAAATCATATCCTTCGCTTCATTACAAGGATTGCAATTCCCTCCATGTACCATCAGTTAGCAGTATTTACCTCTTGCACTCCTCCCTGCGTCTCCTGCTTCCTTCATCTTTCCTCTGCCAGCCTTCCTCTTAGATGTATATAGTCTACTCCATTACCAATCTTAACATGTGTCTACCCTCTAGCCGGTGAGTAATTCCCTCTCCTCCCCAGCTCCCAGTAAACATCATAGAATGTTTCTTTTATCAAGAACACCTTTTCTTAACTTTTTATAACAGTTGTTGTTGTTGTTAAGTGCCATTGAGTGGGTTCCAACCCATAGTGACCCTGTATAGAGTCTCTGAGGAGTAGCTGGTGAGCTTGAACCACTGACCTTGCGGTTGAAATGACTTTGCCATCTAGCACATTAACCCACAGTGCCACACCAGTGGTCTCATGTAACATTTGTCCTTTGGGATGGACTAATTTCACTCATAATATCCTCCAGGTTCACCCATGTTGCGAGGTGTTCTGCTGATTCATCATTATTCTAGGTTCTTTTGAAAACATTTGGAGATGGGCTGATTTTTTTTCTCTTATTTTCCTCCCCCCACTTTGAAAAAAATTGAGTTGTGACGTATGTACAGTACGTATGCAAGGTACACACATCATATGTGTACATCTTGATACGTTTTATATATGTTTACATTTAAGTATATACCACACACGTCCAGGACATGACAGTCACGCCCAAAGGCTTCTCCTAATGTCCCTTCCTGGCCAGTGACATACCATACTGTGGAACCAACCTTCTAACTTAGTTCACTATAGACTGGGTGTGTCTGTTCTGAATCTTATCAACAAAAATATTTAAGCAGGAATCATAAAACATGTTCTCTTGTGTCTGGTTTTGTTTAACATAACATTGAAGGTAATCATAGTTTGTTTCTTCTCATAACTGTACAGCAGGTGTTGGCAACGTTTTTGTGTAAAGGGCCAGGTAATAAAATTTTTGGATTTTGTGGCTGTGTGGTTTTTCACCACTCCTAGCCATAGACAATTGTAAACAAATGAGCAAGGC